AAAACCTGCGGGAAACTCTGCAAAAAACGCATCTTCGCACGGGCAGCCCGTGCGTTGGCCATTTTTCATCTTGAGACCTACAAAAGCTACAGGCTGGAACTTTGGGAACTTAATCTACATGCTTGTACGGGCTCCCGCCCCCAAAACGGGCGGTCTTTCCCGCGTAGTACCCACGTTAGAGCCCGCCAAAGTTTTTTATGAGTAGGCTGCTAACTCGCGAACTAGAAAAGCTAGAGAGTTGAAATTTTAAGGGAGTTTTCCCCGTCCAAGTAGGTACTAATGAGCTAAAACCCAGCCCCCAGGTAAGCGTAGTACCCTCGTACGAGCCCAAAAATTTTTCATGGGTAAGTTCAGAACTCGGGGATCTGAGATGCTAGAAGACGATGTTACCGGTTAAGAGGATGTTCCCCGTCCACATTAGTCTCAACGAGCTCAAACCTAGCCCTCAGTCGTGCGTTATACCTACACACGGGTTCATCAAAGTTTTTTCCGGGTAAGTTCATAACTCGAGAACCTGAAAAGCTAAAGGGCTGTAGTTTTAGGAAGATGTTTCCCGTCCAGATAAGTCTCAGCGAGCTCAAACCTAGACATCGGGTATGCGTGGTACCCGCGTGCGGGCTCATGAGAAACTTTTTCCAGTAAGTTGCTAACTCAGGAGCCCGGAAAGCCAGGAAGTTGAAATTTTAAGAGGGTGCGGGTAACTATGCAAAAAACGCATGTTCGCACGGGCAGCCCGTGTGTTGGCTAATTATTGTATATTTGTGTGTGTATATGGTGTATGAATGTGTGTGCGTTTGATCCGCGGGTTTCAGTTCAGTATCCAGCAAAGGTAGGAAGCTGAAATTTTAAAGTGGGATCCTCTCTATCCGCATGCGATTTCGTAAACGCAAATCCAGCGCCACGTACTCTTAGGTCGCATATACAGTCACGTGAAAGTTTTGGCGCCTGAATTAGTAAGTTGGGGAGTACAAAAGCTAGGGAGCTGGAATTTTTTCTTTCGATTTTTTCCGAAAAACAAGTTTCTTATTGTCTTAGCCGCCCGGCATCGCCCTTTCAAGACGAATGAGCGAATAGTAGTGCAGTACTGGTCCTTTTTTTTTATGCAGTTATATTAGCAAATACGTTTCCAACGTCTGTTTCAGGTGGTGTTTGAAGGCGATGCTGGGACTGAGATTCGATGGTTTACAGAATGAAATCGAACGAATGATTAAGGAATTGCACAAATTATCAAATGGTTTCGAAAATTACAGGCTCTACACAATCTGTTGCCTTACGTGAGTACCACATCTATATTCTTTCATTTCTACGAAGAACTGAACTACTTGTTGATAAGTTCTTCAGCAAAGTAGCCTTTCCAAATTTCACTTGACTTTAACAGCATGTTTTTTCTCGATTGCTGTGTAGCAAAAGGAAGAAGGTGATCACAGTGAAAAATGCAATAGCAGGGTATGCTGTATGTTTTCGAAATGTTAAAAAATTCTCTAAGTTCAGAGTGATGGTGATGGAAGGAGAAGGATTTGTGAGTAAAGAGTCTGCTGAAATGGGGTGAAGAGGAACTGCTTCTCACGAAACTTGGAGTTGCAGCGCTATTTCAGCTTTTGGCTGGGCTTTCCCTCCCTCTTCTCATCTCGCTGCTTATTACTGTAATTACTATTGGCTCTTTTTTTTCTTTTCAGTAATTCGCACAGCGAAAAGACTGCGCTAATGTGTTTGAGGTCTTTAATTAACCTTGCAATCATTCGTGAATATTCATTCATTGTTGCCGATATCAAGCAGGCTATTGAGGTCAGTTCATGTGGGTTTTGAATTTTGACAACTATAATCATCGTACATTCATCAAACAGGGCATGAAATGTTATGCATTTGAACTGAGCAAATGTTTAAAAAAAAAAAAAATATTGGTGAGGAAGTAATGGAGACGTACAGGACGAAGGAACAGTTACGATCAGGATACAATTTTACGCTTGTGAGCCTCGCATTTGCCTTTCCTTCATGCTAAGAGGGGTTGAGATGGCTGCTTCATAGTTCGTTCAATCTTTTTTTGTCAGAAAAATATCTATAGCGTTTATTAACACCGATTGCGCCCATCTTTCCAAAGAAATGAATGCGGAAGATTTTGGCCTTGCGATTAATTTGGAGATTGGAAAATGCATACATAAATATTAAAAAAAATGCATACATACCTACACACATTGAGTCTCACTAATGCATTTTTTTACGCCTCCAAAATGCGAAAGAGTGTCATCTGTCGTTTATTTAATAATTTTTTGGGTTTGATTGTGAATGAGCAATTTTTCTCGACTGTCTTGGTGAAAAAATTCCGACCTTCTGCTTTTTGCCATGCTGAAATGAAGGACGAATTTTTACTTTCTGAGAGGAGGCCCGTTTTTCTTCGACTCTTCTCTTGGGTGTCTTTCTCAAACCCCTAAATTTGGTTGTTGAACAACTGGATTAGGTACGATTTATCGGAACCGTCCCGACTGTCAGTGCGAAGATTTTGCTCTGCAGTGACCTGTTTAATTATAGGAAAGAATGGAGAAATATGCATCAAATGTACATCCACGTCAATGGTTTCTGCGCAGGAAAAAAGTTTTTCTGGAAGGCCTGACCAAACAACTCATGTTTTATAACTATGAAGGATTGCGGCCGCAGAAAGGAGGTATCTTTTGCATTTTCTCCAAAACATTTTTTAGCTCATCTTCGTCCATATGCTTGGTTGCTGCTAAACCTGTACTTCTGAGAGTTGCTGGGCGGTTCTGTAGATATTCCGTTGAATCTTTTTCTGTAGATAATCTGAGTCATTTATCACATTTTGTTACTGACTCATCTTCGATTTATATGGCTAATGTGTACAGGCCTTTCGTAATTTACAGGAAATTTTTCGGATTTCTCTCCTGAACAATTCAAAAACAGTATCGAATATGCTATAAGCGTTATCATTGAGCTTTTCGACTTTCCCAAAAATGACATTGAAGGGTGAGTCCTCTTCACTTGAGGGAAACGAAGAAGCTTGAGAGACGAGTGCAATTATCGCCAGTAGAAGAAATAATTTTCTCGCTGATTACACGTCAGGGTCAAAAATCGCCTCGGCTTGTTTGTGAGTAATTGCCAGATTACGAATGCTGTCAGCAGTTTTGCGAGCAATGACGTGCTTGTAGTCATTTGCATTCGCTTGGGCTATTTCAGCCTTGCCCTGCCTCATCACGTAAAATTGAAATATTGAGGATTTTTGGTTTTGCTTGTACTTTGTATAAGACAGCTGCTTGGTCTAATGCTATTTTTTTAGCTTCATGCGGATTGCATGTGCCGAAATTGTCACAACATTGCTGCTGTACTGCACAACGGAGAAGCCGCAGATAACGCTTGCACTGGACGCCATAATACAGCTCTGTGAAAGTGATCACGAGTCGGTGATGGGCGAAGCACTGCCGCTGCTGCTGGCCAAACAGCTTATCGATGATCTGTCAACCGAAATGATGCAGCGTGCACTGGAATTTATCGGCGAATATAGCAACGGTGTTTGCATTTGGGTTTGTTCTTTGACGATTTTTCGAAATTTTTTTGATCCATCGTGAACAACACGCATTTTTTCTAAAAATCTGGCCGACATGGCGCAGTAGAAGACAGCCCTACTCTCATGCTAAAAGTAACAGCTTAAACTTCGTTATGAGACAGCCACTCCTCCATTTCGGTACTAAATTGTACAAACGTATGTCGGGAAGTCCACCACCATCAGCTTGCTTCTGCGCAGCCCTCAAAAGGGGAGGGCATCAATATTCCTGTCGTTAAATAGTTGTTGGTACATATTGTTACTCGGGCTGTTTCGCTTTTTGTGCAGAATGTATACGAAAGAGGTTTTTGGCAAAGTTCCAGAATACACTTGTATCTGTTAGAAGCCTGTCAGCCTTTTTGTTTTTCCAGTCAAAATTGGTTTCAAAGAAAGCTTATGAATGTACAGTGGTCGTGCTACAACATCTTTGTATTAATGAGGAGAAAGCAATGATGCATATCAAAAATTTACATAAATTAATGTACGGCAGAAGGAGCACATTCAATTTTACTGCATTTGTCAAAGAGAGGTTTCTTTTTTCACATTTTATGGAACGAAACTTAAAAATCGTAGTTCTATAAAAATTCCAAAATTTTTACGATTTGGAGCTAGATTTGTGAAGAACTTAAATGTTCCAAGTGATTAGTCGCACCCAAAATGGCAGGAGTTGGCGTAGCGGCACTCAGTATGTGGAGAGCATTTTAGTAGCATCACTAACTCAAAACCCTCGTAATGATTATTTGGACAGGTCTTGATGGCAGTGAAAAGAGAGGTTTCTTTTGGAATTTTTTTAAACTTTTTAAATTTTGAAATTTCAAATTTTTTTTAGTTATTTGGGAATTTTGTTGAATTTCCGACAAGCTGTTAACGATGACCATTTTCATGACCAGCAGTTCATATTGTTGTCGAGCTTATGTAGAATAATGGCTATGATCAGTGCCGATGGCACTGATTTTTTGGATGCGGTATCTTTTCCTTTAATTTTGCAACCTTCAAATTTTGCAGTATGCATTTTTTCAATGTACAAGTTACCATGGAGCTAATATTATACCAGGAATACCAGGACCACTTGAACTCTTAGTGTGGGTATCTCCTGCTAGTGATGTTACAAGGATGAAATATCGCGCATGCCGAGCATGGCTGCACCTGACTTCTCGATCCTGGGACTGCAGTAGCTGCAGTTAACACCCATCACCCGTTCGTTGTATGTGCATCGCCTTTTTGGTATCACTCGAATGGTCGTTTGTTTTTCCGCGAACACCACTCATTAATGCGCATCGTCCATTTTATGCAGTTTCTTATAATTTGTCAAAATCAAATTTTGCATTTTCGGGGATGCTTTTCTTTTTTAGTGAGTTCTGTTATTAGTGAATGTATCGCAAACTGTTGTTGTGCTAAAGGTCGAATGTTCTACTCCCACTACGACTCGTTTCGGTAGTGCCGTGCCAGCCATAAGTTAAGCCATTAGTTTGCTTCATATTAGCCCTCGATGAGAAAATGCCAACAAATTTTGCAGTGGATAGATGCCATTGGCAAATAGGGCACTTACCCTACTTCCGTGTGCTTCGAGCTGTTGCAGGAAATGACTTATGTGAAAGATATTGATGTGAAAAGTGTAATATATGACGAATTGCAGACTGCTGACAAAATGCTGATTGTTTTGCGTGCTTTCACATCTTTGGGCGTTGCTGCAGCCAGTGCTTGGAAAACTTATATTGAAACGTTATCGGACAAGGTAGCATTTGCCCTATCATTTTCGAATTTTTGGGATATTCATAGCGTTGCTTAAAATTTAGCCGTCAATGAACAAATCTGTAGTGGTGACTTTGAGCCATGTGCGATTCAAGGTTCCAGGTTCAGCTTCCACGAGCGTTTCAGGTACAGAAACACAAAATTTTTAGTGGGAATTTCGCAGCTTAAGAACCAGACAATATGTCGACTATTTTTTTTGTACCTACTAAAGCGTAAAACAGTGGAAATTCTTAGCAGGAAACGTCCGTTGGGCGGAACCGCACAGCATGATCGCATCAGTCACCCTGGCGCACTTCACTGTTCTTTTTACCCATAAATGGCTTTGTGGACTGCCTCTGCATCCCCATTTTTTTAAAGGTAAAAGCTCTCCTGAACCCTCCCTGTTTTTTATCATTCATAGCACTGAAACTATCCAATGGAACGCGTTCCTGAAGGTGCCATTTTTGGACATATTCAAGGAATCATTTATTCAATTTGTTGATTATAAATCTTGGATTTCTGCATAAGTTTCAAGACAGTTTCAAAGGCAGTTTTTCATGGAGCATCCTACTTCATCGTGCTCTGTATCTGTCAAATCTTTTCAGGCTTTGCTGCGACTTTTACCGCACACACTGGTGTCCATTGAACCGCTGTTCCAGTATGAAGAAGGTCGAAAACTGTTGAAATATATTTTTGAGGAAAGGCGTTTACATTTTGCTGCAAAGTAAGATCTTACTTTTTTGATCAAGTAATTTTGCTCAATCCAGAAGCTTTTGTATGAAATAATTTGGAAAACACTAAAAAATTTAGCCATAGATAAATAAATTTTTAGTGGTAATTTTGAGCGAATTGCGCTGGTTTTTTGGGACAATCCGAAGATCGCACTTAACGAATTTCTGTCGCCGGATCTCAGCAAGACTCCCACGGAACAGGTTCTGCTTCGAAATGTTTTGATTCTTCCAATAAATCTACTCAGTTACCTGCATACTTGTGTTTTCTTGGCAGGATTGTTGATTTTTTATTGTCACGAGGTTGTCTCTCTGTGTGTGTGTGTGTGTGTCCCACATTTTGTCCCGCACTTTCAACTCGGGAACCACAAAAGCTA